AGTTTAATGAAGTGCAAATACTATGGGGAGAGTCTTAACTGGAATACAGAGAGGAAGGGGGCGAAAGGGGGATCCGATTCATTATTTCAAGTGTTCACCTTTAGACTGCCGAGACTTGGGGAGAGGAGCGCAGAGAGAGAGAAAGAGAGAAAGAGAAAAAGAGAGAAAGTTTATGCGGAAGTGCAAACTAGAGGGCAATCTTGAGAGTGCCGGTCTGTGGGACCCAGGTGAGTCCAAGAGGCTCCGCAGCACCAGAGGATGAAGGTCTGAACTCAAACAAGCCAAAACATGCAGTGCTAACTGCAGCAGGAATAAACAGGACGGGGGTTCTACGGAAAAATGATTTCACTTTTTCTTTTTTTTTTTTTTTCTTTTTTTTCTTTAGTACGTCTCTGTGGGCATGTGTGCAAGAGTGTGTGCCTCTCTGAGCATGTGTGTATTAGTGGTTGAGGAGGGGAACTCTGAGGCTACAGAGCGGAGAGGAAGAGAGTCAGATAAAGATGTTGGATTTCAAAAAAGATATTCGATGTAATCAATGTGCAACAGCTAGAGGGAAATGGAAAGAACAGCCCACGTGTGATTGAAATGTTCACGTCTTCATAATCAGATGCTCTAAGCTGTGTGTTTGCGTGTGAGTGTACATCACACCGGCCATGTACCGGATTGCCAAAATCCCCCAAGCTGCCACTAAAGGTCACCATGTGCATGTGTGTGTGTGTGTTTAATACCAGCAAAAAAATAAAACCAAACAAAAAGTATTTCCAGCGCTGTTATTATGTGGGATAAAGATCAAGTTGGTGTTTGCCCCAAGTATAAAGGAGGATGGAAAGATATTAACCGTTAATTCATGTTTTCACCAGCTCAACCCGAGAGTGAAGGTGCCAAAGAGTGACTGAATTCTGACATATCTTTTTAAGAGGTGACACCTGCTTCAATAAAATAAATAACACTTTTGAATGTAAAGGAAATGCTGAAGATTTCAAACGGCAGAAGCTGCAGCCTTGGTGGACAAAATGACAAATTTACAGATGGAAAAATCTTGATGTGATTACTTACTTATATATTGCAAATAAAAATATAGTGTCACAGCTGCAAGACACAGCACATGTTTGGAGTTTGGTAAGGTTTCAGTTTACCGTATTTCGTTAAAATAGAAAAAGAAAGCATGGAATTAGAGCTGAAACTTGATGATTTTTCTTTTTTTTTTTAATTTTTTTAAATCAATAGTCTGGTGATCTGGTGAATCTATTTATTGTTTAGTATATTACATATCAGAAATTAGTAAAGAGAAATTCTCATCTCAATTTTCTTAAGCTTGTTTCACAGGATCAAGCCAGAAAAAACCCCCCACAAAAACATCCAATTTAAATTCCATCAGAAAGAGAAAAGAGTAGCCCATCCTCACATCTGAGAAACTGGAACCAGCAGATCTTTGATAGTTTTACTTGATGTGACTTGATAAATGATAAATCAATTATAAAAATTGACTAACTGATTAATCAACTCACCATTTCAGCACTACATAGATTACAAGAAGAGAATCTGACATGATGTATCAAAGACGAACACACTGAATTATTAAAAAAAAGCTTGACTGCGGTTTTCAAAACACTCCGTGTTTGATTTGCAGATGCTTTTTAATCCAGGTCTGGGAGAAGCAGCGGGGGCCAAACTAAAAATAATTTTAGGTAATTATTTGAAGGTTTACGACATAAGCAGGCAGGAAATGTAGACTATTTAAAACTCTTCTCCTCAAAATTGTCACCTCTAATATAGTATTATACAGAAAAAAAAAAAGAAAAAAAACATGCACACACGATGAGATCACTGGGACGCAAACAGTGCTGATTTCTTTCTCCTAATTCGCATGTAAGATATCAAATATTTGTGTCAGCAGACAAGGTGAGCGCAAGATAGCATGAGATCAAGCGTCAGTGAGAGAAAGAGAGAGGAAAGGAAGTTGAGTGCTTAGTGGCCTCAATAATGACATCAAGTGAACACAGCAGATGTTTGCAAGGGAAGGGGATCGAAAGAAAACAAATCCTAATTCCTGCAGCTGTTTGTCAACACGAGCACACGGCATATTCATACAAACACTTTGAAACGGCCCTGCGCTAATACACTGAGCCTTTACACAGGCGTATATTATCCTTATATTACAGAATAATCCAGCGAAATCCTCAGTCAGCCATCCTCTGTGTCGTATGTAATATAAGCATTTCCAACAGGAAAGCGTGGACACCGATCACGGATGAATGAGAGACAGAGGGAGAGAGTGTGTGTCTAGGCAGTTCTCATCAATAAGGAATGAAGCAATTAAGCTAATCTCAGACTGAAGGTGCCCTTTCTCCTTTATACTTACTATAGCTCTTCATGGAAACCAACAACTGGACAGACACACAGTGACAGCGCCTAAACCTGGGTGGTATACGGTAGAAATAACCCTAAACCCATCACCTTCGATGTGGAGGGATAAACCAACAATCGCAGGGGTATTGTCATGTTTTCATTTTTCAAAATTAACAATGACATTTATATTATTCCATGTGTTAGCTAGTGTTTTCTCAGAACAGAAGTCTTCCTATGTGCGACAAGCAGGAACCAAAAATCCAAACTGCCTACTCAGTGGCTCTTTGCTGTCTACCCTGCCTACATCGCAACTGCCTGTGAAATGGTGTAATTAGAAACTTTAAATAGAATTGTACATCACTTTTTAATTCCTTGGCTCTTCCATACGCCTGTACATCTGATGGAAATCGTCTTCTGCAGGTGACAAAATCCTGGACTTAAACAGACTTAAGACTTAAGTAGACAAACTCTCGTAAGCCCACAGAGATCCTGTGTATTTTTGACCCTGACTTGGTCAGAGTAAAAAATAGAAAAAAAAAAAAAATCCTCACTTTATTGATCATAGTGAGAACTTAAGGGCATCACATGGTAGAAATAAAAGTAGTCCCAGTACTCCCACAACCAAAATATCACAACACCCCCCTCCCACACCAATAATGACCTCACTAAACCTGTTCAGCAATCCCCCCCAAACCTTTACTAAACACACAGAAACCAACTCCTGCAAACTGACTCAACACACACAGTTGTGCTGTTGTTGCATTGTGAAACATATCGTGCCTGTCACACACTATCACACGTCAGCCCCGTTGGTAACATGATCTTTTCCTGCTAAATGGCAGGGACAGCCCTCTGAAGGAGTTTTTAATCTCTTGATAGAAAGATCCCCCCCACCCCTCTCCACTTTCCACTTTCAGCCCAGTACTGAAACCCAGTTGAATGTGGGTACAAATGGTGTTTTTTTTGGCTGGCACCAGGTGTCTAGCATGTCTAGCAACACTAGACTTCCTCTAACCTTTTGGTGAGGAAACACCTTTCTCGGTAATGGCTGCCTCACCAGGGCCAGACTTAAACCCTACCTTCTACAACAGCTCAGACGCATGCAACTGGCCAACAGGCTCAATAGAGTCATTTATTTTGTGGGTGTTTGTGGTTATGCAGTTGTGTGTGTGTGTGTGTGACTCTGAAGCTCAATACAAGATGTACTTGGGCACCGTAATAAGGCCTGACTGCCGGTCACAAAATCTGGGACTTAGGACACTTAGAGCTAAACAGACAAACCCTCATAAGCCTGTATGGATGCTCCGTCCTGTCCGCCTTTTCTTTTTGGTGTCTCTCTCTTTTCTTTTTTCTCTCTCTCTCTCACATTACCCCTCTCATCTACCACACTTGCTTTTCCCTCCTCTCGCCCTTTCCAGAAGGTCCTTCCCTAAACCCCAGAGAGAGGGGGAGGAGCCTGGGATGGTGAGGACGCGCTGGTAATCCGTGCAGTGACCCAGGTCAATTCAATTATCCTGTTTTCTTTCGCTGCGTAACGCGTGTGCCCATTTCACAGCCAACTCCCTTAATGCGCCCAGGATTAGCTTCTCTTACTTTTAATGATCTACCTATCGACGCCTTGGGCCCCACAGCACGCATGCACACACACACACACACACACACACACACACATACACACACAAACACAGGTAAGTGTTTTTTATGTATTAGTTTTAGTGTAAAAGAATTCGCTAACGAATTCTGCAAAGATGAGGATCAAGAGAGGCTTTCTCAAAATAAATATGTGTTCTTGAGTTTGTTTGTGTATGCATTTGCTTGTTTATGTGGGAGTGTCTGTTACATAAACTGCGGTAAGAAGAGGATTGTATTATCCATCTGCATTTACCCAGGCTTCACCTCACACCTCCAAGATTTGAGATAATCATCTTGGGCCGAACATGTTAGCGTAGAGGCTCGCTAATCTCAACCCCGGAGGAGGAAAAGAGGCCATTTTACACTAGTAAACTGTGCGGCCGGCTGACATGCGTTGAAATATCCACACAGGATTCTGAGTATTAAGCACACATGCATTGTGAAGCATCGCGCACACTCAACAAAGCACTTTGATCGCTCACACGACAAAGGCTGCCCTGTTGGTTAGAAAGAGGTCTGTTAAAAAGAGAAGCACAGATAAATTAGCCTCTGCTGTTGTTTAGGTGTTGAGATGACACTCTCACCCAATTATCTGACCTAATCTCTTTATCTCACCAGTCATTCACTAATTACATGACTGGATAACTAACTAAGTAGGGCCCAACATTAGGAAACTGCAGCAACTTTAGAAGTGTCTAAAGCCTCAAAGTCATCAAATCAGCACCACAAAGTCTTTTCCAAGATAGAAGTGCCAGTCTGTTTTCTTTTGGCCTGCGTCCATCACACTAATTTCAATAGACAAGTTCAAGTTAATTCCACCTGCTGTTGTGACAGTAAACTAATAATCTTCCGCAACAAATCCAATAAAAAGAGACTATTCAGACCTGAAAACACATGCTATGCTTTCGCCGTTGCTGCTTATGTCAGTTTGGTTTATGTTGGAGAAAAATATGCAACAGCACTTTCCGCTTGAGTCTGGAGACAGTAAAGCGTGTAAGAAGCAGGTGTGTCAGCCTTACCTGGGATGTCCTGTCCGTTGTAGTTCCATCCAGCCACAGCCAGCATGGAGGGCAGAGGAGACCCAGGCCTACTGTCCCTGTCTCTCTCCCTGTCCCGCTCTCTGTCCCAGTTCCTCTCGGCCTGCTGGGTAATATGTCTGACCGTGTCCTTGTTCTTCCTGTTCTTCCTCCGCCCTGACCCTGATAGGGGTTGCCAGGGCCCCTCTCCACCTCCTCCAGCAGCCCCCCCAGTCCCTTGCTCCCCCTGGCTCTGGGCTGCCCCCCTGGGAGCGTCCCGTGGATGAGAGGAGGATGCGGGGGACACCTGTTCCTCTTTGACGGTGACAGGCCTGTAGTCATGGGGCCAGGCGGGCTGGGAGTCGTGGCAGGCTTCCTCCTGGCTCTCGTGGCTCTTGGGGGGTTCTTGGTCCTCCTTGCCATACGTGCTGCCTCCCTCGTGGCAGCTGGCGATGGCCGAGTCCCCAGAAGAGTTGGCCGGGCTGGTGCGCCGCGCCAGCCAAGGGGAGGTGCTGCGACCAGACATGATGGAGGCCAGGGCTTCAGAAGCCATGCCCACAATCCCTCCTCCTCCTCCTCCTAAACCTGCTCCTGCAACACCCCCTGCTCCCGCTATACCCACTCCTCCTCCACCTGCGCCACCTCCTCCACCTATGCTGGCAGCAGCGACAGCTCCCATTTCAAAGTCAGCCAGTTCGTCAGCCATCTCAGAGCGGATGCTGATGTCCAGCGCAGCTTTGATGAAGCTGTGGCAGGCCTGGACAATGTCTGTCATCTGCAGGTAGCTGGCGGCTGACATGACTTCGATCACGTTCTTACTGGTGAGAGCGAGGTGCGCTGAGTACATGAAGTCCAGGATGGCTTTGAAGCCTGTCGCCGTGACGATGTCCAGGTGAGTGACAGTAGTCTGGTGGTGAGGCTCTGCCCCTTTTTTAACCTGAAGGGTGAGGAGAAGGAGTGTTCACAGCAGGACAGGAGTAAAACCTTTTTCAAACACAAAACTTCTGACACTGGTTTATGAAATGAAACACACACACTGAACAAAACTATCACGATCTGAGAGGAAAAACAAGTACTTAACCGAATCCCCCTGACCCATCTTCCCCCGGTGTGGCAGTCCCTTACCTGGCAGTAAAGAGTCTTGAAGTAACGCGAGGAGCCCAGGAGGACGTTCTTATGGGCCTTGAAGATCTTTCCGTCCACAATGACACAGGCGTCGCAGAGGATGCCGTGCTGCCTCTGCTCATTGAGCTCTCGGAGGAGCTGACGGTAGTGAGAGGAGATCTCCATGTCCTCCTTCCTGTTGTTCATCTGTGTAGCTGAACAAAAGCCTCTCCTCAAAACGTCTGCTGAGAAATGAAAGAAGACACAAAAGAAATCAACTAAGAACGTGTCTACATGTTTTTAAGTATACAGTCTATTGTACCATGAAATGCACGGTGTGGAAATGTGACTGTACAGCAGCAGAAAGATACAAAACAACGAAATATAAAGCATCTTGGAAATTTCTTGGAAATAAAACAGAATATTTGGCAACGCATTCAGGTATTTCTCCTCGAAGTCAACATACATGGTTGATGTCTGTAGCTGTATACAAATCCTTTGCTTAAAACGTTGATTTCATTATAATGTGTGTGTGTGGGGGGGGGGGGCAATAAGCAAATTTAGCTGAACCTTTAATGACAAGCCAGGGTAAGGATATCTCAGTAATGACTGTGACATAAAAACAATGACATCAATAGAAGCCACATCTCAACTGCTGTAGTTTGATGTCTAAAAACAGCCCAGTAACAAATAGTCAAAAACCTCTGTGTTTAAACCGTGTATGACAGGTTCATTTGTGTGTGTGTGTGTGTGTGTGTGTGTGTGTGTGTGTGCGTGCGTGCGAGTGACTGAGAGCGTGTGTGTGTACGCTCATTAAAAATGTCAGTTAAAAAGCGCAACACTTTCACATAACGGTTGAGAAGGAGAAAAACACCTCATTTAGCACAGACCACTTTACCATTAAATTTATCAATAAACACGGCCTCGCTTCCTTTTTCTTTTTTTCCCCATTTTGTTTCAACTGTGAATTTTCAATCAGCTGTCTAGTTAAGACGAAAATTTACTCTTGAACCTTCACCTCAGTGTTTCTGATCTCGCTCAGTTCAGTCGAGGTGGTGAACACAAAGTTTTTTTCTGAAAACTACAGAGAAAAGACCTTTAATGACAATTCGCGGAGCTTTTGAACCGTCAGTGAATGAAGATCCAATTTCCGATATTCATTGACAGGATTCGTGGTGATAATGCAGATACACTGGCATATTTTGTTGTCACTTTAACCAAATTTAAATATGAGAAAAGAGTTTGTACAATCAATTAAGTCATAAAGCTTCTTTAGCTCTGGCTTTTGAGCTCACAAATATTGACCTAAGATATAAGTGGGTTTTACCTTGAGTGTAGATAAAACGTTATTCCCTGCTTTGGCTGTGTACAGGTTAGATGAACTGATGAAAGGCATTGTGAGCTCTCTCTCTCTCTCTCTCACACACGCACACGCACACACACACACACACACATGAGAGGGAATGCCGGTAAAAGCCACAGAGAGAGGGAGAGCATGAGGAGACAAAGGGAGATGTGAACATCCCTATGTTGAACCATTCAACGAGGTGGCGGAGAAACAAAGAGAAACCACATGAGCCCTAGCAAACACAAACATACAAACACAAACACACACACACAGAAGAAGAAGAACATTAACACACACACGTGCGCACACACACACGCTCAGGCAGTGCATTAGCCAGAGCATTAGCAGCCGCCGCTCCCACTCTCGTCTTGGTGAGGGCTAAATCGCGCGGACGCAGAGTGTTACCAAACGCAGCAGTGATTTGTTTTGGGAACGCCACAGCTGTCAGCTCTCATGGGCCATTCTGAGACATGACAGCTCGGGTTGGCCAAGGTGACAGCAGCGTTTGCTCGGGGGCCGGCACACTTCAGGTCATGTTTAGCAAAGCTCTGCTCAACCTGATGGCTTGTAAGATCAGATAAATCCACAGCGTCTCCCACGTCCACTTGGACAAACACACCTCCTATGAACGGCAGTGGACGAGTGGATGGAGTGATGGCGACAATTGCTGAAGCCTCCCTTGCTGAGGAAAAAAAAAAAAAAGAAAAGTAAAACTGTCCTGAGTTCGATCAATACATGGCTGGCTCACAAACTTTCATTTTGATTGGTGTTTCTCTAAGTCGTAGAAAGAATTGTGAGGAGGAAGAAACTTAGGTGTGAATGCAGAGTGTCCCTCAGAATCTCAAAAGGCAAGTTTTGACGCAAGTGTTTTTATCCTCCGGCTCACACATTTCTCTGAAAAAAAAAAAATCTATTGGCGGTCTAACCTTGAGATATTCTTTCCTTTCTGCGTTGCCCTGATTGAGGCATTGAGAGTCCTCACCTCTCACCTTTGGAGACAAGCGGCTTTAAAGACACAGCAGCTCCCCTCCTCCTCTTTCTGCTCCTCTTCTCTCAGGGCCACTGGCACATTCAATTGTATAGCCCGGTCTATAAGATAGGCTCCTTCTCAGAGCCACATAAAACACAGAAGAAGTCATTTATTCACTGAAAAATACCTCAATACCCCGCTTCCTCATTTTTTTCTTGCCAATGTGAATGGTGAAATACAGGGTCACTGTGCAGCACACGCCAATCAGCAGCTCCCAATGGAGACACACATCTACTGATAGCACAAGGGAAGCAGTGAAAGAAAAGCCAGCTATACCAAATCAACTGCTGAAATAAGACTGTGGCATTCAGGTTCCTCCCGGCTCGCTCCGTTTCCATGTCGGTTATCATTTTTAACATCCCCGTATCAATGAGGAACAACAATGACACGCAGTAACACGAACAAGCAACATGTTAATGACAGCGACTGTAATGTAGCAAGAAAACTGAAGTGTAAGAGTTGGTTCACACAAATGACAAAGGAAAAGAAAAGAAACTTTTATTCACTGACCTTTATCAGGTCATGCTGATTGTTTTGAGATATCCGTTATTTGAGATTTCTGCTTCCACACCAATTCATTGGAGGACTTTAATTAAAAGTGTATTTTAAAAAAAATAAAGAGTGGAATTTCTTTTTAGAAGTTCATTTGGATATTCAACAGAAAAAAAACTGTCAACAATTTTCAAGGACTATTTTTTGTTATAGAGTGAAATTGCAATGATAAGTTTATTAATCGATCTACAGAATCGTCGACTCATTTGTTATTTTTTTAAGCAAGAATGGGAAATATTCCCCTGTTTCAGCTTCTCCAATGTGAGAACTTGATTCTTTTCTTTGTCAAATGATAAAAAAAATAAAAAAATAAAAACTCTCTTTGAGTTTTGGACCAAAACAAGACATCACCTTGGACTGTGGGAAATTGTAATGGGCATTTTTCACTATTTTATAGACAAAAAAATAGATTGAGAAAATAATGAGCAGATATATTTTTGCTGAAGATAATCCTTAGTTGCAGCTCTACTAGAAAATTCCATTCACCTCAATTTTAAGGCAGAAATGTCAGAAGGGTATCTGAGAACTTGGACAAAGAATAACACCGATAAAAAAATTATCTGCATGACTACATAATAAAAGAGGTAGGTGGGAAAAATATGTATGTAATTTGGGTGAATCTACTTTAATGCAGTTTTTGTACAATCCTTGACAATTTTAATATGATTTATATTCAAATAACCCACCGAGTGGGAATAAAGTCTGGTAACTGGGACCAAAGTTCATTAGAGCAACTTTTCATTCTGTGTGCCAATGCGTGTCCAAAGAGTTAACGATAATGTCAGGGTGCTATGGCACTGTGACACAGGAGGCCGTGTTTCTAAGGAAGCATTAAAGTTTTTCTGGCAAGTGTGTGAGTCTGAGTTTGTGCGTACGTGGTGTGAACGTGTGGCTAGGATTGAACCCAAAGACATGTTAAATGGTGCCTCAAATTTAACAAAAACAATGATCAGTGGAGGGTAAAACAACAGCACGGGGCTGAGAGGAACAGAGAGGGAGAGGTCTAATCAGATTTATTGCTTCAACAGACTCAGAGACGTACTGAGTTAGCAGTTAGGCAGAGAAGAGGAACTTAAATGGAGTGCGCTTTGACCTCTAAACTCTTTGCTTGCCTAATTGGCTTGTTTAATTTCAGCATGTCCAATTCCCTCCAGTCGGAGAACCCTCTTCCAGAGGAACCAGTCCCAATGCTGCCCCTGCTGTAGTACACAAAAACCTCTCCAGTTTTCATCCTGACTTTTCATTTCCTCAAAGAGCTACTCCATCTTACTGCATGAGCCTGGACCATCTGCAGAACCGAAACTCCCCCCACCCACCCACCCCACACCTCCTCCCTTCACCATGTGAGTACAGCCTTGATTTATAACCCACTTTTTTTTCCAAATATACACTTGACACAAGGTGGGAAAGTAAGGTAAAATGAAGTTGTCAGACAATCAACTAAAGAGAGAAAGGTAGAGACTTTTGTGTCTCATCCAAAGCATTAGCAGTCTCACCAAGGCTACAGAAACTAAAGCCTGCTCTCAGGATGTCACAGCATAGAAAAAAGCTTTTCAACCCTCTATGAAATTTCACCACAAAAAAAAAAAAAAAAAAGGAAAAAAAAAAAAAAAAAAAAAAAAAAAAAAAAAGAAAAAAAAAAAAAAAAAGCAAAAAAAAAAAAGCAAGGAAAAAGTCATCAGAAGGCAGGCTGACAGTCTGGGAGCGCTTATTTGTGGTCAGAGACGATTGTTTCAGTAAAGCATGCCACTACAACTCCAAGTCCCTGTCACCCTTCTGAGGCCAAATCAAAAGTGACTGTCCTCCTTAACCCCCCACCCACCCCCTTCCCTGGCTCAACAACACAAAAACACACACCACGTCAAAGATCCCCGTTCCCTCAAAAACACACACACACACACACACACACAACACACCACATCACACACACACACACACACACAACACACACAAACACACAAACAGATTCCCTGCCCCTAAATACACAAACACATGTAAGAACTAAAAACACACACGTTCACACACTTAGCAGAGCCGTCATGGCATCACACCCGGTTTGTCCTGGTCACATCACAGCAAAGTCACTTTAGGCCCCAGCCAGACGACTAAAGAGATGAGACATGTGATGGAGTGAGAGAATGGGGCTTCCTCCTTCTTGCGTTTCTCTTAATGCAGCCTGTCCCTCCGAGCCACTTCTCTGCCTCCTTGACCGCACAGGACCGAGGGGAGATGGAGCGCAAGGTCCTTCTGGATCAAAGGCAGCGCGATACTTTGTTTGTATGGGGTTTAACACAGACTGCTTTCACAGGGGGCTC